AGCGTAAAATGTTGGTCAGAGCTTGTACTCATACATCTACACCACTTTGAAGAACGCATCCATTCCTCAAGTTCCGATAGGAGGACCGACACATTGTGTCGCTGAACAACGCGCCAAACTCAAGCGGCAGCAGTCAAAGACAACAACCATTGGGACCTTGTTCAAACAGTTCTATGCATATTGGCATGCTGCAAATTTGTCAGTGTTTCAGTCTTGCTTGCTACTATCCATCCCGCTTACCTATGACAGAAACATCTGCGGAATACGGACCAAATGCAGAAAGTGCAGTTGCCGCAATCGCCAATTTCTGCCTCTCAAAAAATTTTGCTTTGATAAGTCGTAAAAAAAGGGGATTCAAGTTTGCTCCAAAAACGAACAACAGTTCTTGTAGAGCAAAATTTTTTCTTTTCATTGGTATAGGTACTTTGCCGCAAACCAGCCGCTTCATCGAAAAACGGCGACAAAAATAAAAAGTCGACGTTATGAAACGACCTAATAGTAAGCAGATTGATGCTTTACTTGCTCTGCATCGGCTGCTACGCATTTCTCTATGTATTAATAATCATCGGACGACCAATCAGAGTGGTATTATCAGCTATATGGGCAACAATCCTTCTCGTAAGAAGGAAAAGCAGGAGATTTCGATATGGACCAAGATGAAAGGCAACGGACCTCATTGAACGTTTGGCGGTGTTGACAATCGTAAGAGTAGCAACATCATCAGCATGCCAACAGATCAACATATTTTCCCACTAATCGACAATTTGCACAGAAACATCGAATTCTAACCAAATGTGTAAAATACAATTATCTGAGGTGCTGAAAATCAATCCTTCAAAAGTGAAGCCTGCTTCATTGACAAAAAACGGGACAACCTGCATGAAATACACGCTACTTGGAAGGCCTTGATACTAACGTGCGAACAAACGACGGACTTTTACACTAGACAAGTCTCCTACAACGTCATAGACAGTAACAGATGCCCATACGTTGGTACATGCGTGGAACCAAAATGCGCAACAATCAACGGAACAAGCCTGATACCAGAGTTAGAATAAGGTAACAAATACCGAAAAGTAACGTACCGTGTAGAATCATGCGGAGGACCGAGTTGCGACTGCTTTTACTGGAACTCGGGATGCCTTTTTTATCACACATACTTTGTCCCATTATCAACACAAGTATTTCGCGTTTTTCATTGTAATCGCTGGAAAGAAGCCACAAAAGTGGAACTCATGCACATTGATGGAGTCAAGGGAAAGTCGCAAACGTATATGGCACAGATGCAACCCAATATCCCGGTAAAACGGGGACCGTTTTCCCTGACATTAAGCTCGGTAACAATCCCCCTATTCCCATGTTCAATATCTACATCATAACAAATAACAATGAAACAGATTTATGGGATCGAAAGCTAACCCCACCACTATTGTGCGTGAACGAAGAAGCAGCGGAAACTTTGGACTGCGAAGTCAGAGATGACTGTACATGCTATCCAGCAGAAACAAAAGCCAACTGCAAATGTAACCAGGTTGACATATCAGCAGGATATAACCTTCAAAGAAGACTACCTGCAGAAATGCCATCAGTATCCTTCAAACAAAACGAACAGGGGAAAGTTCAAGCAATAGTCACAACATTGATTACTTCCGAAATTATACTGAACATACAAGAAAACCTAAGAACAAAAATCATAGTAGACCAAGTTTTTTGCACAGTGACTAACACGATATTAACTTGTTAAAATTGTGCAAAGGGTGCAACAGCACAAATTTCATGCATAGCCGCGAGACAAGTATATGCAGAAATTACATGCAAGGAATCAAGCTTCACAGTAGCATGTGACGAAAACGGCAAATAGTCCTCTCTGAGATTTAGTCCAGCACAAGCTAGGGTGCATATGCGGCGTATGATAAACTGTGGAGAAGAAGCTATGTACTAGCTTTGAAACTGCAGGCAACCTCAAGTACACTCACACAGCACAAGACATGATACAAGCTTGGTCAAAAGGAAATGAAACGAGTATCAAAAAATAAAATTGCCAGATTTTCCTCACATATTTGGCGTTTTATGCAATGGTACAAAACCTTGCTTTGCGTACTAATAACGGTGCTAGGATTACTTTTTTTAACCTACATTTGCTTCACAACATGCGGAATAAAAGTCATCTATTTTTGGCTGCGCCTTCAATTCCGCCTATTCAAAAGAATAATGAGATGCGTCCTATTCATACCAATTCGGATTATAGATCAAATAATGACGCAGCAACCGACAACACAAGACAACACAATTAGAAACTTCTCTTCAATCATGATTCTCCATAGAAAATAGGCTAGAAGTAGGAAGAAATATGAGAATGCTACTTTTATTTCACGATGTCACACGTCGATGAACTTGCATATCTTACGGACAAGATCGCACCAAAAAAGACAACAACAATACCAATGTTGGAAGAATACCTAAAGAAAACTTCAGAAGAGCTGCAGAGACAAGTAGAAGTTGCATTGACTATCAACCAAGACTGGAAAGCTACCTCAAACAAGAATGGTTCAAGCAGGCTCCAACAGAACAAATTGTCACGATATCCCGCCTAGTTCGCGCGGTGGTAGCAGCGAGAGACAGCTATCTCAAGCTGTGTACTCGCTTTATCCTCTTAACAAAATGGATGGAAAAGTTCCGGCGTATCGAACTCGAGCCATACAGTCCGGAAATGGTGTGGCTAGACGACATCCTGCGCATGGACATGAAAGGACAAATGCAAAAGTTGAACAAGTTGATAGAAAAATTGGAAAAGGAAGAGAGAGATGGAAGTATTTCTCAAGACAAGAAATGAGGCCTTCCATCAAGCCCAACGCGATCATCTCATGATTTGTCGTCTGCAAGAACGCCTCCGAGAAACCGAGTTGGAGCTTTTCTCTATTAAGGCAAAAGAGCAAGACTGGAGATGGGTACAGGGGGGCACCTTCTTACCCTCCCGAGACAAGTAAGGACAAGCAACTTCCAGGGAGAGAGAGGAAGCAACGCGAGATCCGGATCTCCCAAGACTTGTGAACGATGAGGAAGAGATGGAACAAGAGGATGAACTCATGCTGATTGATGAATAGAACGCTGATGAAGAAAAAAACCTGCCAGGCAAAGACAGGGAGACGTCATAGACGACGATACTTTGACGGTTATTACAGGAAGCCTGCGAGACGCCTCAAGATTTCGAAGAATCAGGTCCCCAACAAGAAGAAAGGGCCCCCGAAAGCGGGGAAATTGTTATCGAGCAAGAGGAAGAGGACAAGGAGAGTGCAGATCGTCCATGAACAGAGGCCTCACGAGCCAGCCGACGCTGAAAACTGGGGCGATGGACCCAGACAAGTACAAGAAGAAATACAAGCGTTGCAGCTTCAGATCCAAGAGTTGGAAGCTCATATACAAGTAAGGAGGAAAATCGAACAAGGGGAGAAGAAATTTACGAAATTGAAAGTGCTATGCAAGTACTCCCACGACGCTACTTGCGCGATGCTTCCGAAAGGACCCAACCAAACGTCACGTGCGCCTTCTGCGGGGCTCAGAATCGACGCTATTCAGATTCCTGTTGTGTCGTCACGGACGGGGACGCAAGACACAGCCTAGTGCGGCAAGTAGGGTCATGTCCCAAATGTCTGCTAGCTCACAACGGAAGGTGTCGGTTTTCTTACTGTGAAAAAGTCTCAGGGACCATGGCTGAAGAATTTCGACCCAGAGACGATGGACGTCACAAAGCTCTTTGCCAGCACCGAACGCTGAAAGCACACTTCGACAACAAATTCGAATTGCAAAAGACGAGTACATACAAGTCGGAAGGGACATCGAGCGATGGCAAAAACACCTGGACAAACTCGAAAATCAAGTTGAACAAGTTCATCGTCGGAACCTGGCACCCCACGAAAGCCGCCGCCAGTGTCGTGAACACGACTTCAATCAAGAATACTCAAGTATGTATTGATCCAATACATTATTATTATTTTTCGCCAACCTTTTCTTTCAGAATGCTTTGTTTACGCCTGCGCGCGGAGCCAGCCCCAGATGGAACGACCGATAACAGAAAGATCATCGTCTATGCAGCTCCTCGGTGCTCACGCAAGTATCATTTTTCATATTTGCATTTTTTCTGTCGTATCTTCCTGTGACATCTATTACCAAAGTATATAAGCTTATGCCACGAGACCCATATTTGCTGAAATTTTGAATAGTTTCTGTGCCCTTTTTCTTCTAATTTCAATAACAATCCCACGAAACCAGTATAAAAGGCAATTATGGAAATCAAGTTTTGCGTAGAAAGGGATAAACAAGTGTCGTAGCAGTTAGGTTGCCTCTTATATCCTTTTCATCAGTTATTCCTGTGTATCATTTAGTATTACTGCTCATTTTGTATTTGTTATGTTGTTTTATGTTATTTTGTGCCTGTTATTTTGTCGGGTTTTCTTTTATAATTTCTTGAGCAAACGGTTTAATTACCCAACTTTGAGTTGAGGTACGCTTCAACACAAAGCCCGCGTGGAAGTCATCAAGTATAGTGCGTCTCTTGGTATTCGAGGGTTATTGTTTCAAATATATCGAGTTACCTCACACAAACTATTTTCAGTCTATGTGGTCCTTTCAAATGAGTCAATTATGACTTTGGAAAACAATAAGCACTAAGACCTCCCTTTCCGCCATACGCCTTTGTGTTGAAATATAGGTGTCTGAGGGAACTAACTTAGAATCTAGGTTAAATCATTCTTATTAATTGTTACGGTCTTAGCGCTTCAATAGAGCAGTTTTGAGTATGAACGTTTTGAACCAAGTTCATTTCCAATGCTCTTATATCAACAGTGGACGTCTAAGCGATTCTGGGCGATTTTGATGCAGTTGCGCTTTTGATTTCTTCAATAGAAGAAAGGCTCATAACGCGGCTCAGAGGAGCTTAGCTAGTGAAGACCGATTTAAAATCACAGTCATATGCCCCCAAATCTGCTTTGCTTGTAACGCACCTCTAAGTTATAAATGAGCCGTTCTCCAGCTTCTATGTTTGTTTTCTGACGTTTCAGGTGCGATTGTAAATCTCCTCCTGGGCAATACTCCATCACTATCAAAATCGGCGGATGATCACATGCAACGCCAAACATCTGTGTACGTTAATTTGGAGGAACACTAAGCATTCTAATGAAGTGATATTCACTTCTATGATGTTGTTGTGGACATAGTAGCTCATCATCTGCGCTTCACTAAGCATTGAGTCACGGGCTTCCTTTGTCTCTTGGAATCCTTTGGAGACGGATCCTTCATGGCAAATCTGAGTTTCGACTTTAGCGACGGCATATGTGTGCGACAGTGGCGGACCGAGGGGTAGGGGGCGGGAGGGGGGGGGACGCCCCCCCCCTCCCCCGAGAATGGGTCGCGAAATTTTTGCAACTTACCTATATGGGTTATAAGAAAATGTGCACTTTAATTTTGCAAATAATTAAAATAAATTTTTAAAATTTTTAAAAATTCAAATTAGCCTTATTAAAAATTATTTTTCGAGGGCGTGAGAAGTACTAAAAATTTTTTGGAGTGTGTGGCTAACGCCACGAACCTTCATTTGAAAAAAATTTTTGTCGCCCCTCCCCCGTTCCGAAATCCTGGGACCGCCACTGGTGTGCGAATAACATTATCTGCAAAAACCTTTACAGCAACGACGATTTTTTCATCGTGGCGCGTGTAGACTCCTTTATACACATTACAAAAGTTTCCTCGTCCAAGAAGGTCCTGAGAATAATCAATCAAATAGTTGTAAAGAACGAACCCCATAGAAAATGCGTGATTGAATGCAGTTTCCTGCTTTTATGTATCTAGGTGAAACACATCACTTCAAATGCACCTTATCTTTATCGAAGACTACGTTTTCGTGCTTAATCAACCACACCGGTCGTGGAATTCCATGTTTTAGTCGAGCATGGCCTGGTAATCTATGATCCTGCAAGTTAAATATTCTTCAAGGTACTTCATCACATGGGTTCATTTCGTTCTTTATAATAATTAATTAATTCTGCAACTTGCGGAAACTTTGGTACAGGTCGTGTACTTCTCCTAAGGACACCCAGTTGCCATAATCTATTGTTATCACATCTTAAATGTAGTGTTATCTTCAAATGGAAGGTGAATCTGCGAAGAACTTACTTAATTGTTAAGTTAATCAAATCTTTTCTGTCATTTAATACTGAAATCACTATCTCAGGCAAATTTCTTGAATCGGTAGCCCGCACGAGGAAATCTCCTGGTTCTTTCAGAAGCGCACTGAACTTTAGTCTTAAAGGAAGCTACACCCAAAATTTCGCCTTCGATGTTTTTGTCATTCAAGTCCTTTCCGTGTTCCTGATTACAGTTATGACATTAAAATTCTCCAAAACCCCCCAAAAAACCCCCCAATGTCCGGGGCCCTCTCCTCAGAAGGAGGACGAGTTTTGAATTGCTCGACCCCCTCATACCAGCGAGGAGCAGCTGCAACTGCATGACAGCCTGCAGTTGCAACTGCACCCGCAGCGTATACTGTCGTGGATTCGTCGTCCGAAGGAGGCGGACCGCAAAAAGCAAATGCACTGTTGCAACTGCAGCTTACGCTGTCGTGGATTCGCGCGAAGGAGTCGGACCGAAAAGAAAGGGGCGGAGCGAAAAGAAGTTCCGGCGGTTTTTCTCCGCTCGAAAGCAACATTGGGAGACCGGACCAACGCAGTTGTTCATCTTCTGGGCCCTACACATATACCGTATAGAGAATGGGTAACTTAGGCTTTGGGTGTACGCTGCCTTTATGCAAACATTCATTGAAAAGATTCTTCAGGTGTATCTCGACATATACATATCATCTAGATCAAGAGGAAGGTGCACAAGCAGCATCATTTGAGCGTAGACGAACGCGGCGCGCGCATCTTTATCATTGAAAACCCTGCGCCTCATGACCATTGGAAAAAGTCTGCGACTAATAAAGCCGCGTTCGCGCCCAGAGATACTGCTAAACGTCTTTGTCTGTGTGTATGTCTGCTTATCTGTGTCCAATGGCCTACCGAGGCCAAGTAACTCCGCTTTTTCTGAAGAAGCGCCACATTCTGAAGTAAAGATTTATATAAGATCTATTTGATATCATCCGGCTCCTTATAAGTTGTTTTGCTTTTTCAATGGAATTTTCAACAAAACCATCGAATTTCAGCACTCTGAGAGACATAAACACCAGCAAATCGTCCAAGTTTGAAACTCTCAAAAGTGGATTATGCTTCAAGTCTAGTTAAACAAAGCAACTGAGGTTCACGAGCTCGAAAAACTGAAACAATTTATAACTACAGCCACAGCTTGGGCACGTTCAAAAACATGAATCATGATGATATCCGCGAACGCTTCACAGATCAGGAACAAAAAAACACCTGCTAGAAAGAGCAAAAACGCTAATTAAATTCAAGCTGCCCGCCAACTAATGTTCTGTGAGGTTTGAGTTGACCAAATATGAATTTTGTTGAAGTTTTTGAGAAGCTAAAGGAGAAAAATTGTTTTACATGATTTTGGATTTCTATCTATGTCTATTTGGACTTCAGTGAAATCAGTGCTATCTTTAGAAAATAGCGAAACTTGACCGTGGCAGAAACATTGATAGCATTTGGAATTTCCTCATCTGCGGAGCATTTATGGACGATGAGTTATAAGGGGCTTATTGGAGCAAAAATTGAATGCGCATTCAAAATGAAATAAGCTGCTAAAATACTTTTAGCCCTATAATGCGATTAAGTGTGGTATACTTTTTATCTCATTGTCAAAGGATTTGGTAAGGTACTCTCTGTAAAGTATCACGGCTATTTTGTCCTATTTGTAGGTAGGACAAAATAGCCGTGATCTTTTTCTAGCTCTTTAATGGAGCTGTGATAATCATCAGAGCGCTTTACTAAAACATTTAACAAAAAGATAAAAAGTATATCAAACTTGGTTGCATTGTTTGAGGGTTACAGTTATGATTTTGGAATGTGAAAATTCTCGGCGATGTCGGCGAACTCGGCGACTTTGCGTTTTTCGCCTACTTTGCCGATCGCCCATCGCCGAATTCGCCGAGAACTTTCACATTTCACTGTCATAACTGCATGGCACTGTTATAACTGCAGAAAAGCTTATAGATTACTTCAGCATAAAGATTTGGATGAAAAAATTTACAAAGGGTTCGTAGCGGTCATCTGCTAGCAGAAAAAATTATTGTTTTATCAATTTACTAGCTGGCTTACCCCACTCCGCCCGGAACTGTCAAAACACTATGATATAGTTCTCATCCCTATATCTGTATCCCTGTACAACCTTTCCCCGTGCCCCTTCTACATACCAACTCAACTCCCTATTTCCGCTGTTTAGTTATCAGCCTGCTCACTTATCCCTGTGCGAATTCCCAGCTCAAAATTTACAAAAAAAACCCGATAAAATCGATAAAAACAATGGATAATTTCAAAAACTATTATCGTATTCGTAATCAGCATGCATAATTACCTCTTGTGCGAATTCCAGCCCCGCAGCTCAAAATTTTCGAAAAAAAACGATAAAATCGATAAAAGCAATGGATAATTTCAAACACTAATATCGTAATCGTAATCAGCATGCTCGATTACCCCCTGTGCCAAATCCCAGCCCCGTAGGTGAACTTTACAAAAAATTGATAAAAATCGATAAAATTGATATCGATCGATGACGAAAAATAGCCTATAACACGCTTCCCCGAAGTATATGTGTGCCAAGTTTGGTCGGATTGGTTCAGAGATGGATGTTCATATTCGGAACATACATACAGACATACAGACATGCAGACAGACATTCGGATGTACAAGCAGACATTCAGCTTTATATTGGGTGTCCCGAAAGTTTTGTCGGTTTTTTTCAAACCGCTATAAAACCACGCACAATGAAGAACTCAGTGAGCGTCAACATGCATTTGATGCAGCTTTTCCTTCTCTTTCTTATGGTTATATCATCGAACCACAATCCTGCAGGCTTTTTTTGATAATTGCGGAGATTTTCCACCAATTTTATCTGCTCAAAGTTAGGCTAATTTTTGAAAATTTCATTCCAAAGTTTCGGAAAGGATAAAGTGTGGATCGAGATTGTTATTTTGTATATCGAAATACAAAATAATATTTTTAGGTTCTCCTTCTCTGCTGTTTTTAGCTTCAAAAAATTGTTTCTTCGGAAGTCTCGATTTTTGGCTCGTGAAACACGCAAATGCAGCAAATATATGAAAGCATTCGAAATTTCTGCGAATTGAAGCATAATTCTTATTAAACACTAGCTGGTGGCCCCGGTCTCACCCGACAAGTTAGTTAAGCTAGCAGAACGTGTGAACCTACGCGATTGAAATGGACTTTACCGCCCTCGCTTACATGCTTATATGGAAAAATGATCGGTTACCATGATGGCCCTTCATTTCTTAGGTTTGAGTAAATAAATCAATAAATCCATAGAATGGTCCGGCGAATCGCCGCGGAAAGTAGCTCTAAACCACCGCCGGGGTCGAAAGTATACGTGTGCGAAGTTTCAGCCGGATCGGTTCAGTGGCGCGCGTTTCTATAACGAACGAACAAATAAACGAACACACTTACAAAGTTTGAGTATGTATATATAGTGTATATATAGTGTTTGAGTCAAAGTATATATATATATATATATATATATATAGATTATTTGCAGCATAACCAAGTTTGATTTGCTTTGGAAAAGCAGCTTTTTGGAATTTTCGGTACTTTTACGTGATAAACATTACTGAAAAGTCGCGTTTTTTATTGAATTTATAATTACCGCACTTGGTAAACGTGGCCGATGTAATCTAAAATGAAGAAGGTAGCCAAAGGTTTGCTCTGCATAACGGTTATCAGCGCTTTATGAAAACAACACAATAAAATTTTTTAAGATTCAGGAAAAATCTGGCGTTATTGCTAAACTGCTCAAAATCCATGACGATAACATTGCTAAGACAGGGTAGATCAGAAAGCAAATGTCGCTATAAGAATGAGGATAAAAATCTGAGTCAAATAATACCTAAGTCGTCCATGGATTGGTGTTCTATGGGTTTTAGTGAGCGATGAAAGAAACGGACAAAACCTTCGGGACAACCTAATATATAAGATTCTCGCCGGTTCGAGCGATGCTTGCTTCAAACTGGATATAAGAGGCAAATATGGCGTTTTCAGGTGCGAGGTAGGTGTCTAACGTGATTTTTGGAGGAATTACGGGACAACTCTGAAAGAGCCGATTTTACCGCCTGAGCATGCATGTTGGAGGGCTATTAATTCTGCGAATATTACAGATATGGGGATAGGGTTTGTTTTGTTCGACAGATCTCTGAAAACATGATTTCAAGAGAGAAAATTGCAGGAAAGCAAATTTCCACTAAATGGCCTAAATGACAGCCCTACTTGGGAAATCTGTCAATAAGGAAGAGTTTGCGCCCTCATACTCTGCGAGTTGCAGCGCTGGGCTGTGGTCACTCACATGTACTTTTGGCGCTCTATTTTACCGGGGGTACTTATGCCTAGAGATCTTCTGTAGGAAGCGTTATATAAGGGCAATGATGCATATTTTGAATTTTTCTCCGTGGAGAGTAGGGATGCGGGCTGGGATAAAAATGTTTTATTTTGTATTTGAGGAGGACACCATATAACTCGAAGGAAATGTAGGGGCTCCCTCTGTGGGAGCCCATTCATAAAACTTCCCGGACGTTCTTTTTTAATTCTGGCCACGCGAGTTTCCTCTTTCTCCCCCCCCCCCCTAATTTTTCCCCCTTATTTTATTATACCAGTGCATCACCTATGCTTCGCAGAGGCTCGCACTGACTCTGCTATCTGTGTGCCTTACTCATTCTCGTGAAATCGAGGCACTGGAACTCACCGCGCTATGCCGACTACCACGAATAAAATGTGAACAACTACTCATTTAAAAAGTTTTTTCACATGAGATCGGTGATTTCGCGTGGATGAAACTTTTCGCAGAGAGACAAACGTAAATTTGAGTAGGTTTTTGAAGTTGTCATGGCTTGGTAGTCGCCGTAAAGGGAATAGTAATTGTGAGCTATATCTTTGTGCGAAAATCTTCTCAAATGCTTGGCTAGAACCTTGGCAAATCGACCATTTACGCAATCAATTCTTTTTGGAGCCGTTTTCGTTATGAAGTAAACTTTTGACCACTTTTCGGGCTAAAGTCCATCACTAACACTTTTGCTTATCACCGCATCCTCGACTTTGCAAAAAGTAGTGATAAGGACCCATTTTTGCGGCACAGAAGCC